AGCCACACACGCTCCACTAACGTTTGACAAGGGTACGAAGTGTAATTCCATGGATTAGCATACAAATTCACATTTTGCCCTAAAGTAACTAGAATTTGGGAATTTGTAAAAGCATGTAGTTACTTTGTACTTCATTATACTTATAATGGAAGGTTTCGTCCTATCCTACCCGTTCGGCTAACGACCCTCCACTAGTCAAGAGTGCGGTGGGTAAGAGTGGATACCCATTCAATCGCCATTTTATAGGCAATTTCCTTAAACACCCCTTATAGACCAGCTTCGTGAATGAGGCCTACTAACGGTAAGACTGACTTTTACTCATATATATAATATTAGACTTTTAATGTTACATATATATAGTATAGGGTGTATTTTACACTTTTAAAATACTAGGTGGTTTTATTAACTTTCCAAAACCATAAGGGTGTAATTTGAACTTATTCAAAATACGAGGGTTTTAGAATTTAACATTTCAAAATTAAACTTTTAATCAACTTTTAAATTCCAAAACTTGAGGGCAAGTTTTGAAACTTTTCAAAACAATTAGGTTTTAATCTCACTTTAAAATTTTTCGAAATTTAAGACTATTTAAATTAAAATTTTAAATATTAAAACTCTTGATTTAATAATTATCTTGAATTAAACTATTAATTTAAATTATTAAATCATAAGGGATTATCTAGATCATAAAGGATAATTACCAATTAAACAATTAATTTATCCTAATCCTTTTAATCCCTCTAAATTTCGAAAATCATGGGATAGGATAATTCAAAATCTTTAATTACCATATATAACCATTAAAGGATAATTACAAGATATGGGGTAATCCAAATCCCTAAAATTTAGGATCTTATCTTGGGGAAGAGGCTAATTTCGAAAATCATGGGGTTTTACAAACCCTAGATTTCGAAATCTTGAGGCTTAAGGAAAGGATTTGAAAACCCTTTCAAAATTTCGCAAATTAGGGTTAGAAACCCTAATCTCGAAATCTCTAGCCTCCTAGGGTTTATTGGCTATAAACCCTAGTATGTCAAGTTCATACATTTTAATAAAGCTAATTGAAAACAAAAACCTGGCTCTGATACCACTGTTGGGTTTTATACAAACAATCCTATGTGTGCATGCAACCCTAGAGTTGGATCTATGTTTTCACTATTAGTTATACAACTTTATGAACACAAAAGAACCCTAACATGCATCTACTATTTTCGAAATTGACATAGGAGAATATAATACATACCTTTTGTTGTTATGTAGTAATAACAACTAGTTCCTTGAATTTCCTTAGCTCTTGAAAGCAAGTACCACAAGTGTAGTACCTCTAATGGCTCACAAACACACTTTGAGTGAGAGGATGAATATGAGAGAGAGGAGGAAAGGTACTAAGCTCCAAAATTCGGCCCTAGTAGGGTTTTCCCAAGGGGTGTCGAATTCTAGTACCTTAGGGTGCTATATATACTTGAGGCTGGCTAGGGTTTCAAGGTGGAAACCATAATCCCTTAGCTTAGGGCCTAAGCAAGTCCATGGACTCCATTCCTTAAGCCCTTGGACGAAAACTCCTAGATCCTTCTAGGATTTTCGTTCAAGCCTTAATAAAGGTGATCCAATAGCCCAAAGTCTCAACTATCAAATAATTACAAAACAGCCCCTGTACTTTTAATTAATTCCTTTAGTCCCGAAATTAATTCCTAATTAATTTCTGATTAAATACTAATTAATAATATGATTCCAAATTATTATATTAATCATATAATATAATAAATAAATCATATTTATGCCCTAATCAACCTCTCTCCTCAACTGTCATCCTGTCTAGTCACCCGTGTGAAGGCAACCCAAAAGGACCATGCTCACAATCGGGTCAAGTACATACCAAAATAGTTATGGACTTAGACACTAATCCAACAATATCAAGGATTGGAACTAAGAAGAATGAGATTGCTTGAAACCAATCACTAGCAATTGATACATGAAATCAAAAGACGAGTTAAAGCAAGGAACCACCGGATTGTATGAGTTGATTTTGCAGCCTCAACACACCTTCAAGAATCGACACTTGCAGACCCTTCTTTCCCCCCTCTCTTCTCAGTTCGTTCTTCCCTTCTCCACCCTACCTCGCCTTTTTTTTCCTATGCTGCTGTCGAGCGATGCAAAGGATTGATTTTTAGATTACTCCATTAATCCGTGCGTAAAGGCTATAACAGTTGCAAAATTTTTTTTGGAGGTATCTTCACAAATTAACTTTCTTGTAATGCCAATTTGGTCCTAGGCTTTGATCTTTTTCTTGTTGGGGGGTTTTGGACGAATTTTTAAGGATTAGTCCCTAGACATTGAACTTTATCCTATCTTTCCTAACCTTAGATACCTTCACAAATTAAGTTTCTTTTAATGCCAATTTAGCCCCCTTCATTACTTCACAAATTACATACTATTGTTTTATATTTAGGGGTGCTCAATTTGACAATACAAATAATGTTGACAGAAAACCTATTATAGTCTTCTGACCCATGATAAGAGAATAAAAAAATGACTCGAATTTTGAAATTATAAAAAATAGGAAAGTATAAACGATTAAAAATAATATACTTATTTTTTAAAAAAATATTTTTTGTGGTTTATGCTTTTGAAATTATTTTCTAAGTTAATAAAAATGATAGTCAGTTTTTCAAAAATCATATAAATTAAAAGTAGTTATTATTGTGAATATCGATTTTTATATGTACATTATATTTATACTTCAATTTCAATTTATATAACGCTTTAAGTTTTTTTATTCTTAGACATTCGTCATTTAGATAAAAACGCTGATAACTAATAGTTATTATTGTGCATTTGTATTAAGTTGTATGTTGAAATCAGTTGAATGAAAAGTCGATAACACATTACAAAAGAAAAAATTACCACTAACCAGCTAAAAAGATATATAAACGATAGATAAAGAGTGATTTGTGTATAACTATTTATGTTATAAATATTGGTATTTACGTTTTAAATATTTGTATTGCACAACTTAATAAAACATAAATAGTTTGTCTATAAGGAAAAGTTACCATGTAAGGATCTCTACCCATCAATAGATATCATTTATTTTTATAAAGCTTAAATTGACTATTTTAATAAAATTAACAAAGGTGATACCACAAAATATTTAACTTATTATTTTTTTTTCTTTGACAAAAAAATAATTAAAAATGAAAAGTAATTAAGATGCTATATCTTTTATCTATTAATAAATTCTAATCTTATTATTTATTTATCACAATCAATCCAAACATCAACAAAGATTTCATTGTTGTTTCAAAAAAAAGATCAAAGATATTTAATATTTAATTTCTAAGCCAACATTTCTTCTAAATCAATAAAATGAAAGGGTAAATGGAAGTCCATCTACCCAAACAAATAAAATATGTAATTTTATATAATTAGAAACATTGAACAAATTAAATTACATTCAATTATTCAATTTCCTATGAACCAAATGCATGAAAGATTACCAAATTGAAGTTATTAATTCTTTAACTATCAATATCCTCAACAGCTAAGAGCTCTCAAGTCTCAAATAATGAACTAATATAATTTATAAACCTCCTCACAATAACCATATAAATAAAAGAACACATATGTGTTCAAAATGGGGTGTGATCTAAATAAAACAACACATATACTTTATACATCAAGATTATACAAGTAATAACTACCAATTTCGATAAAACTAATAATTTATTGTGAAATAAAACTAAAATTTGCAAAATATTATTATCTTTAATATATAGAGTACAAATCTATCAAGACCAAGAAAACTACAACCACGATTGCACAACCTTCACGACCCATTCCTCTGTCGTATCTTAAACAGACGTAACCATAAATAGCATTGTACTTTGTATATATAGTAGAATATAAACATAAACTTTTGAAAATAAAATAATAAAAAAGTCAATTGCTACTTACACAATCTTTATTTCAGCTACTTAAAACTATTTATAGAGTTAAGCTTAGCAAGCTATATAGATTGGAGTGATTACTTTAAGGATCATGACCACATAGTAGTTTAGATACAAAGTTGATGTGTACATTAAGAAGTGAAACTTATTCCTCTTAAAAATACAAGAAAGAAGCAATATGCTTTATATAATTGTATAGATGTATAGATATAGATATAGATATAGATATATAGAAGTATAGATATAAATAGCACAAATATCAAAGTTTAATTCGATATACATCAAAAACTTTTAAAGCTTTATTGAATATACATTACGAAGTATAACGCATTATTTGCTCCCACACACATTCTGTATTCGGATTCATTTTTGTCATGATTAAATAAATCAACTTACACATTTTCTTCAAGTTCTTAACCTTCATTGTTAGAGTCACAAATAATGCTTTTAACTTTCTTATAAAGTTCATAACTAAAAACCCATTATCAACCTCGCTTAATAGATCCATAACCAATCTATCTTTCCAAGCTTTTGAAAACCCTGTACACAACCCACTCAAAACAACCAAATTAGGCTAAATAGGCCTCTCTAACATCTCTTTAAAAACACCAAAAGCACCATCATAATCATCCGTTTGCAAGAATGATAAAATCAACATCTTCACGGTATCTTCATTTGGACGACATTTACTTTTCACCATGCTTTTATAAAGTTGAAAACCACGATATGGGTTCTTTCGAGCACATTGGGCTTTAATTAGGGCAGAAATGTTGAAGAATTTGGTACTAATTTCTTTTTATCAAGTTCTTTAACCAAATAAGCAGGTTTCTTGGTTTTTTCTTCGTTACAAAGTCCCAAAAACAATGCGTTATAAGTCAAAATATCAGGTTTGACCCCGGGTCATATCATTTCTTCAAAAATCTGATTACCCTTTTCGATTTTACCTGATTGGGAACATGCAGTGATTAATGTGTTTTAAGATATAGTATTAGGATCCACATTTACCCTTTTCATTTCATGGAAAACTCTAAAAGCATCATGTAGTTTCCCTTCTTAACAGAATCCATGGATTATTGTGTTGTAAGTTATGGCATTTGGGCTGCCATTCTTCTCCATTGTAAGTTTCAACTTGATTGTGGTTGTTAAAAGGCCTTCGTTGATGTATGCATTGATCAATGTATTGTTGGAGGAGACAAAAGGGTTCATTCTCATACCTTGCATTTCATCGAACACTTGGACTGCATTCTCTAGTTTCCCTAATTGAACATAAGCATTCATCACCATGTTGAGAGTGAACACATTGATTGTGATCTTGGATCTTCTCATTTGGTTGTAAAATGGTAACGCGATGTCTGCTCGATTGAAACTAAGCAGTGAACTCATATACATGTTACATGATTCAATGGTGGGAAGAAATCTGTATTCCTTCATACGACAAAATGTATCTGTTGCATTCCTGAACTGCTTCATCTGTGCATACATTTTGAAAAGGGCATCGAAAACACGAGGAGTGGAATCACACATTCGATAAGAGTGAAGAACAGCATCGAAGAGCTTAGAATGGAGGTTTACATCACAAGAACAAGAACCGATGATCTTCTTTAAAATGGATTCAGCTGACACAAATTTACGATTCTTGGTGAGGATGTGGAGGATGATGGAATTTGTTTCGAGGGTGAGTAAACTAGGGTTGTGAAGCTCAATCCATTTGAAGAATTTTAGGGAAATGACGTAGTCGTTTTGAAGCTTTAACAGAATGTGCTTCACTCGTAATGAATTAGATTTGGTTAATAATTTATCTAGCTTAGCCCAATCAGAGTGAAGAAGATGACTGTGAGCTATGTTGATGTAATCAAGATCTTGACCTTGGGGTTCAAGGATAGTTCTATGGGGTATTGGAATAGGACTCCATTTACTTCTAAGGAGAGTAGAATTAGGGTTTTTCATGGCTGAATCAAGCGGAGTTGAAATGGGATTTTAATTTATATATTTTTAATGGAAAAAAACGGAGAAATAAAATATATGAAATAATAATGATTTTGAACCTGCAAAACTTAAGCCAGCCTCTTTACAAGCAATGGCTGTCATCATCATGTGGGACCCATCAAGAGAGTGGACAAAGTTAGGAGGAAAGGTTGTTCTTTGTCTTTTCACCATCACCTTTTATAACAAAAAAAAAGGTATTTTTCTTTCATTTAGCATTATAAAGAAAAGGTTGCAGATATAACCTTATCCGTTTCTCGTTGTAGTGTCAAAACTTGAAGAGATGTCTTAATCTACACATTTCAAAAAAACAACAAAAAAGTCTTGGTTCATATTAGCAAAAAAGCCAAAATACAGGGACTTTACTTGACAATTTGACATACTAAAAGAACTCACAAGATGTCTTCCTAATTTGCGGTATGGTTGAACAACAGGAAGTCCAAGAGGAGTTGTCCATTGTACTGGATTGTTTTTCACTGCTATAACCTGTCAAAATTTATAAAATCAATAAACGTATTAATCTTATCTTATAAAAATATAAAACTTATACCTTTGCACAATCACCAAGCCAACTAATAATACTTCTTGCAGATTCAAACATTGCTAAAAGAAAAAACACCATTAAGGGCTTGAGTTTCCTTCACCATTAAGCCACATATGAAACCTTAAAGGACTGATTTGAAGACCTTTTGGAGGGTTCAAAACATGGTCTTTTTATAGAAAAACATCACACAAGAATCTATGAGAATTGGAGCAAAAGAAATAATGAACGAAGATACCAAAGAGAAAATAGAAAGACAATTATTCTACAATTCTAACCAATCCTTACTCACCAATTACCACATATATGAGAGTGTTCTTAACTATATTTTGACAGCCATCACCCATCAAAAACACACAAAACGTGGCTGGGGCTTAATCACATAACATATCAAGGATTGGAAGTAAGAAGAATGAGATTGCTTGAATCCAATCACTACTGGATTGTATGAGTCGATTTCGCAGCCTCAACACACCTTCAAGAATCGACACTTGCAGACCCTTCTTCCCCCCTACTCTTCTCAGTTCGTTCTTCCCTTCTCCACCCTACCTCGCCTTTTTTTTTCCTATGCTGCTGTCGAGCGATGCAAAGGATCGATTTTGAGATTACTCCATTAATCCGTGCGTAAAGGCTAGAACAGTCGCAAAAAAACTTTTGGAGGTATCTTCACAAATTAAGTTTCTTGTAATGCCAATTTGGTCCTAGGCTTTGAACTTTTTCTTGTTGGGGGGTTATGGACGAATTTTTAAGGATTAGTCCCTAGACATTGAACTTTATCCTATCTTTCCTAACCTTAGATACCTTCACAAATTAAGTTTCTTTTAATGCCAATTTAGCCCCCTTCATTACTTCACAAATTATATACTATTGTTTTATATTTAGGGGTGCTCAATTTGACAATAAAAATAATGTTGACAGAAAACCTATTATAGTCTTCTGACCCATGATAAGAGAATAAAAAAATGACTCGTATTTTGAAATTATAAAAAATAGGAAAGTATAAACGATTAAAAATAATCTACTTATTTTTAAAAAAAAAATATTTTTTGTGGTTTATGCTTTTGAAATTATTTTCTAAGTTAATAAAAATGATAGTCAGTTTTTCAAAAATCATATAAATTAATAGTAGTCATTATTGTGAATATCGATTTTTATATGTACATTATATTTATACTTCAATTTCAATTTATATAACGCTTTAAGTTTTTTTATTCTTAGACATTAGTCATTTAGATAAAAACGCTGATAACTAATAGTTATTATTGTGCATTTGTATTAAGTTGTATGTTGAAATCAGTTGAATGAAAAGTCGATAACACATTATAAAAAAAAATACAACTAACCAGCTAAAAAGATATATAAAGGATAGATAAAGAGTGATTTGTATATAACTATTTATGTTTTAAATATTGGTATTTACGTTTTAAATATTTGTATTGCACAACTTAATAAAACATAAATAGTTTGTCTATAAGGAAAAGTTACCGTGTAAGGATCTCTACCCATCGATAGATATCATTTATTTTTATAAAGCTTAAATTGACTATTTTAACAAAAATTAACAAAGGTGTTCCACAAAATATTTAACTTATTATTTTTTTTCTTTGACAAAAAAATAATTAAAAATGAAAAGTAATTAAGATGCTATATCTTTTATCTATTAATAAATTCTAATCTTATTATTTTTTTATCACAATCAATCCAAACATCAACAAAGATTTCATTGTTGTTTCAAAAAAAAATCAAAGATATTTAATATTTAACTTCTAACCCAAAATTTCTTCTAAATCAATAAAATGAAAGGGTAAATGGAAGTCCATCTACCCAAACAAAATAAAATACGTAATTTTATATAGTTAGAAACATTGAACAAATTAAATTACATTCAATTATTCAATTTCCTATGAACCAAATGCATGAAAGATTACCAAATTGAAGTTACTAATTCTTTAACTATCAATATCCTCAACAGCTAAGAGCTCTCAAGTCTCAAATAATCAACTAATATAATTTTTAAACCTCCTCACAATAACACATATAAATAAAAGAACACATATGTGTTCAAAATGGGGTGTGATCTAAATAAAACAACACATATACTTTATACATCAAGATTATACAAGTAATAACTACCAATTTCGATAAAACTAATAATTTATTGTGAAATAAAACTAAAATTTGCAAAATATTATTATCTTTAATATATAGAGTACAAATCTATCAAGACAAAGAAAACTACAACCATGATTGCACAACCTTCACGACCCATTCCTCTTTCGTATCTAAAACAGACGTAACCATAAATAGCATTGTACTTTGTGTATATGGTAGAATATAAACATAAACTTTTGAAAATAAAATAATAATAAAGTCAATTGCTACTTACAAAATCTTTATTTCTGCCACTTCAAAACTATTTATAGAGTTCAGCTTAGCAAGCTATATAGATTGGGGTGATTACTTTAAGGATCATGGCCACATAGTAGTTTATATACAAAGTTGATGTGTACATTAAGAAGTGAAACTTATGCCTCTTAAAAATTCAAGAAAGAAACAATATGCTTTATATAATTGTATAGATGTATATATATAGATATAGATATAGATAGCACAAATATCAAAGTTTAATTCGATATACATGAAAAACTTTTAAAGCTTTATTGAATATACATTACGAAGTATAACGCATTATTTGCTCCCACACACATTCTGTATTCGGATACGTTTTTGTCATGATTAAATAAATCAACTTGCACATTTTCTTCAAGTTCTTTACCTTCAATGTTAGAGTCACAAATAATGCTTTTAACTTTCTCATAACGTTCATAACTAAAACACCTATTATCAACCTCGCTTAATAGATCTATAAGCAATCTATCTTTCCAAGCTTTTGAAAACCCTTTACACAACCCACTCAAAATAACCAAATCAGGCCCAATAGGCCTCTTCAACATCTCTTTAAAAACACCAAAAGCACCATCATAATCATCTGTTTGCAAGAATGATAAAATTAACATCTTCATAGTATCTTCATTTGGACGACAATTACTTTTCACCATGCTTTTATAAAGTTGAAAACCACGATCTGGGTTCTTTCGAGCACATTGGGCTTTAATTAGGGCAGAAAATGTTGAAGAATTTGGTAATAATTTCTTTTTTTATCAAGTTCTTTAACCAAATAAGTAACTTTCTTGGTTTTTCCTTCGTTACAAAGTCCCAACAACAATGTGTTATAAGTCAAAATATCAGGTTTGACCCCGGTTCTTATCATTTCTTCAAAAATCTGATTACCCTTTTCGATTTTACCTGATTGGGAACATGCAGTGATTAGAGTGTTGTAAGTTACAGTATTAGGATCCACATTTACCCTTTTCATTTCATGGAAAACTTTAAAGCATCATGTAGTTTCCCTTCTTTACATACATAATCCATGGATTTTTGTGTTGTATGTTATGGCATTTGGGCTAATTCTGTTCTTCTCCATTGTACGTTTCAACTTGATTGCGGTTGTTAAAAGGCCTTGGTTGATGTATCCAGTGATCAATGTATTATAGGAGGAGACAAAAGGGTTCATTCCCATACCTTGCATTTCATCGAACACTTGGACTGCATTCTCTAGTTTCCCTAATTGAACATAAGCATTCATTACCATGTTGAGAGTGAACACATTAATTGTGATCTTGGATCTTCTCATTTGGTTGTAAAATGGTAACGCGATGTTTGCTCGATTGAAACTAAGCAGTGAACTCATATACATGTTACATGATTCAATGGTGGGAAGAAATCCGTATTCCTTCAGACGACAATATATATCTGTTGCATTCCTGAACTGCTTCATCTATGCATACATTTTGAAAAGGGCATCGAAAACACGAGGAGTGGAATCACACATTCGATAAGAGTGAAGAACAGCATCGAAGAGCTTAGAATGGAGGTTTACATCACAAGAACAAGAACCGATGATCTTTTTTAAAATGGATTCAACTGACACAAATTTATGATTCTTGTGAGGATGTGGAGTATGATGGAATTTGTTTCGAGGGTGAGTAAACTAGGGTTGCGAAGCTCAATCCATTTGAAGAATTTTAGGGAAATGACGTAGTTGTTTTGAAGCTTTAACAGAATGAGCTTCACTCGTAACGAATTAGATTTGGTTAATAATTTATCTAGCTTAGCCCAATCAGAGTGAAGAAGATGACTGTGAGCTATGTTGATGTAATCAAGATCTTGACCTTTGGGTTCAAGGATAGTTCTATGGGGTATTGGAATAGGACTCCATTTACTTCTAAGGAGAGTAGAATTAGGGTTTTTCATGGCTGAATCACGCAGAGTAGAAATGGGATTTTAATTTATATATTTTTAATGGAAAAAATGGAGAAATAAAATATATGAAATAATAATGATTTTGAACCTGCAAAACTTAAGCCAGCCTCTTTATAAGCAACGGCTGTCATCACCATGTGGGACCCATCAAGAGAGTGGACAAAGTGAGGAGGAAAGGCTGTTCTTTGTCTTTTCACCATTACCTTTTATAACAAAAAAAAGTTATTTTTCTTGCATTTAGCGTAATAAAGAAAAGGTTGCAGGTATAACCTTATCGGTTTCTCGTTGTAGTGTCAAAACTTGAAGAGATGTCTTAATCTACACATTTCAAAAAAACAATAAAAAAGTCTTGGTTGATATTAACAAAAAACCCAAAATACAGGGACTTTACTTGACAATTTGACATACTAAAATAACTCACAAGATGTCTTCCGAATTTGTTGTATGGTTGAACAACAGGAAGTCCAAGAGGAGTTGTCCATTGTACTGGATTATTTTTCACTGCTATAACCTGTCAAAAATTATAAAATCAATAAACGTATTAATGTTGTCTTATAAAAATATAAAATTTATACCTTTTCACAATCACCAAGCCAACTCATAATACTTCTTGCAGATTCAAACATTGCTAAAAGAAAAAACACCATTAAGGGCTTGAGTTTCCTTTACCATTAAGCCACATATGAAACCTTAAAGGACTGTTTTGAAGACCTTTTGGAGGGTTCAAAACATGGTCT